GCGGCCTAACCCCTCGCCACGCGGGGGAACGCCGAGTCTCGCACTGTCCCCATCCTCGGTGCTACTGCCCACTGGCTCGGGCGAGGTCCCCCGACTATGCCACTCGCTGTGTTCGCGGTTCACGTGGTTTCCGCGGGCCAAGCCCTCCCCCTCGCGTTCAGTCTGTCGGTTTCCCAAGGTATGGGTCCGCTCTGTTAGTTGCGAAGTCCTGTCTACCACACTGTTGGTCAAAACGTCCGCGTCATGCTCACTGGGCTCGTCAGGGACCTCCGCCTCGAGCCTCTGCTTGCCTTTGGCACTGCGGTCTAACCCCATCACCGCGCTGGGGTCCTCCGTGGCCTAACCCCTCGCCACGCTGGGGTCCTCTGCGGTCTGCAAGGTGGTACCCTATGCTGTGCTGTACATCTGGGATCTGCTGGTGGTTGTCATCGCTGTCCTGCTTGTCTACGGGCTGCTGGAGGCAATCCTCGCTGTTCTCCTCTTCAAGGAAGTGGTCGAGGCCTGCCATGTCCATGGTGCTCCGTCCTGCTGGTGGGGGACGGGCACCACTCTGCATCCCGTCTGGCGCAGGGCTGTGGCCTAACCCCTCGCCACGCTGGGGTCCTCTGCGGCCTACCCCCTCGCCGCGCAGGGGCCCATGGTGGCCTGTCCCCTCTCCGCACAGGGGCCTGCTGGAGGGTTTCTGCTGCTCCTCCGCCCTTCCCGCCTCCAGGGGCCGCTCTGGCTGCGGTACCCTGGGTCCCCTGGGCCTCTCGAGCTCGGGCGCTGGCGTTGCCGTGCGCAGCTCGGCGGGGCTGCTGGTGGCCCTGGCCTCTGGGTTCCTCCTCGGCTGTCTGGCTGGAGCCCTGCTTGGCACTCGCACTGCTGCTTGCGGTCGCGGGCTGCGGCTCCTCACCACTGGCTCTGCCACGCCCAGGAACTGCTCAGCCATTGCTCTGCGCCGCTCTGCCTCCTTCGGGTCCTGCTGCTGGATCTGCCTGCGCGCCTCTCCGCTGTTGAGCCATGCCAGGCGGCAGATCTCCTCCGCCGCTCGGCGCTGGCTGCGCTGGCGGCTCGGCCCTGACACGTTGCTGAACAGCCTCTGGTAGACGCCAGTCTGCAGCGCCCTCAGCACATGGGGCACGCACGCAGCCTGCCACGATGGCCAGCCCTGTTCGCCCTCTTTCTGGCTCCAGCAGCCTGCCAGCGACTGCATGAGCTGCTCGAGCCTGTTCCTCTCGAGCCACGCCACCTCCTGCTCGGGGTCCTGGTCAGCTTCTCCTTTGTTGTGTCGAAGCCTTGGGTGGAGCAGGCCGGCCTCATCGGCTTCGCTCACGAACTTCATCAGGTCGGGCCCCACTGGCTTGGTCAGCGTTACTGCCACCTGCACAGCCGTCTGCATCAGGCTGTTGGCGTCGTGCCTCTGATCAGGTCCTGCCATGGTCTCCATCTCCTGGTTGCTCGGCTCACCCTCCAGCTCTGGGGCTTCACTGTCTGGGGTCGAGTCATCATCGTCCAGGTTCTCTGGTGACCACTCCCCGCTGGCCTCCGCTGTTCTCGGCAGCGGCCTGCGCTCGCTGCTGGGGATGCTGTGCGCTAGGATGTTGTTCCTTCTGTTCTGGAAGGCGTCCATGTGCACTCTTGCTGCCTGCTGCCTTGTACCGTACGGGGGGGTAAGCATCCTGGTCATGAGCCTCCGTCGCGTGCGGTGCGTGTTGCGCCAGACTTCTTCGCAGAAGTCCTTGATCTGCTGAAGCTCCTGCACGGTGACGGCCCTGGTCTGCTCTTGCGTGTCCGTTCCGCCACCCACATTGGTGATGGCCAGGAGGTACGGTACGCAGTGCTCCATCCAGTCGTCCATGTCGTCCCAGACCTCTTGGTCGACCATGTTCATCCACTGCTCCGCGTAGCCCTCCATGTGGTCCACGAGCCTCCAGCTGGCGTGGATGGCTGGGTGGCTGCTGTGGAGCTGGCTGCGGGTCCCCTGCATCTGAGCTGTCCCCGTCCAGGTCGATCGCCTCGTGGTTACTCAGGCCGAGCTTGAAATCACCAGGCATGGTGATCTCGTTGAGACCCTCATCAGCTGGGTCTGCTGCTGGCTTAGCTCCTCTTGGCAGCTTGCCCCTCTGCATGTCCGCCAAGACCCGCCGCCCTGCTGCTGTTGGGGGCTGACATGGCCTTGCCAGCTTCCTTGCCACTCCTGCCACGATCCTGCTCTTGTGGTCCCCAAGGTAGCTGGTGCCGCCACATTTCTCGCACCAGAGCCAGCCAAGGGTGAACTGCGTCTTGTGGGAGACGTGCACCACCTGCGTGCCGATCTGCACCGCCTTGAAGTCGAGCCTGACGTTGCCGTGCTGGTCCTGGTGGCCGCCGTACTTCCCGAGGCATTCTCCCGTCTCTGCCAGCCAGTCTCTGATGCTTTGTCCTTTGGCTGGGCCACTGCGACACGTCGCACACCACCATCGCGGATGTAGCTTGCGCAAGTCGTGTCCCAGCTGGGCTGCCCTGTCCCTCGCCGTCTGCGGCTTTCGGCGCTTGGCCTTGGGACGCTGAGGGGCCTTGTTGGGGTCCTCCACCGTCACCGCCACGTTGATGGCCAGCAGCCGGTTTTGCACCGCCGTGGTGATATGGTCCCTGATCTGCTGCTGCGCGATAATGGCTGGATCCAGTGCTCCATGCTCCGCTCCCCAGCCTGCGTACTTGTCTGCCATCTCGTTTCCTATGACCCACCAGGTGGGACCATTCCACCTCTCCAGCTCGGCTGGGTGCTCAATCAGGTGGCTTGGGATGTGGTGGCCCATGATGGTGTCCGTGCTGGTCTGCAGCTGCTGCTTCGTCTGGAGCCAGAGGTCGTAGTTCGTGCTCCTGTAGTCCAGATCCTCAGGATCCTGGATCTGCTTGAGTGCGTCCAGGGCGTACTTGCAATCGCTGACTATGTTGAGCCCGCTGGCTGTCGCCGCCGTGGTGTACCCGATGGCTTTGCTCGTGGCGGTGAGCTCTGCCCGTGGCACCGTGTGCGGTGCCCTGATCGTGCCGTACCAGGCGGCCACTTCCTGCGGACGTCCTTGTTCGTCGAACCTGAAGGCCACCACTGCCCAGCCGCAGCGTCTGAGGCGGGGGTCCTTGGCCGTTTCCCCTGCACCACCTGAGCCGTCCGTGAAGACATAGTCTGCTCGAACCTTGTACCCTGACTGGGCTGCCGCCTGAGCCTCTTCGCTGGTGCAGAAGATCTGCGCCGCCTTCGCCGCGTCCTCGTCTGGGTCGACCTTGGCTGCCCAGGCCGCTGGCGGGATGCCTCGGAGCCAGAAGTGCAGGTCTTGCCGCTGGTCCAGCGCGTCCTTCGCCTTCTTCGCCAGGTCGGTGTCATTGCTGTGCCCTATCTCTGCGTTGGCAGGGCATGCGTAGTAGCGGTGTTCCTCTGTCTCTATCGCCTCGCCGCATCTCGCGCAAGTGTCGTCGCCTTCTTGGTTGAGGTCGGCCGCCCTGCGACGCTCCCTGGTCCAGATGCCCGCCACCGCTATGGTCTCCAGCATGGCTGCCTCTGCATGCTGTCCTTTGCGCCTCCTCCTCCTCAGGTGGCGCTGCAGCTGATAGAGGTCGCCTCCAGCCTGAAGTCCTTCTCCACTGCGATGGCCAGCTGCCTGCTGCCAGAGCTGCTGCTGCGCGCTCTGCTGGACTTCATGCAGGAGCGCGCCGAAGTGAGGAATGTCATCTGGCTTGTAGGCCCACTCGTCACCTGCTGGGCTGATCCAGCTGTCCAGGCGTCGCGGTATCCAGCCTAACCCAAGCAGCGGCGCGATGACCCCTGCCATAGGCCCCTTGGCCTGCTGCCACCTGCGGTTGGGTTCCAGGGCGTCCAGCTTGGCGTAGAGCAGGAGCCAGCCTCTCTGGTACCTCTTGAGCTCCGTCGGGTGGTCGACTATGGTGAGCCAGAACTGCTTGATCTGGTCGCCGATGGCTCGGGTTACTGCCTCTTGCATTCCCCTCTGGATCAGGAGGATGGTGGACGTGCAGCGTCCAGCCTTGTGTCCGCCTGTGAGGAGCGCTGCCTCCGTAGCCCTGACCGACTTCGCCTCCGTGGGCGTGATGCCGTGCGCTGGTAAGTCCCAGGCCTGCTGGCAATAGGCACCTGCTGAATAGACCTTTGCCGCGCCTCTGGCGTCCGTCTTCGCTAGGTCCTTGAGCTTGGCCACCCTCTGCTTGGCCTTGGCCTGGCGCGCGGCATGGGTGGGTCGCCGCAGCTGCTTGCCGAGGCTGGTGTCCACGCCGAGGTCGCGCACTACACCTGGTTGCTTGTTGGGGGTGCCCAGGCTGTCCAGGATGCTGGCGACTTCTGCCTGGGGGTCCTTGTCCGAGGCCACCACTGCCGTCTTGACGGAGATGGGTATCGAGAGCTGCTTGGATCCATCGTGCACCAGCGCTGCCACGTGCTTGATCTGGTCAATGACCTGCCGCCACGCACCCTCTACCTGCAAGGCCAAGTCGTCCAGGTACTGATGCATGACGACGAAGATGTGGTGCCTGTGCGCTGCATCCAGGATGCCATGCAAGAGCGGTCTGGTGAGGTCGACCGCTTGGCCACAGCCAGCTACCATGCTGTTGGCAGGCTCGAAGATGTCCGAGAAGAGGCTGTGGGCCATGATGGCCCTGGGCGCAAGGTACATCTGCACGGCCATTGCCAGCGGCAGCAACGGGCACTGGAGGGCGCTGGCCTTCTCGATCAGCTGGTCGAGGCCTACGTTGTCGTAGAAGTTTGCCGCGTCGTAGAAGACTCCTGCTGCATGAAAGCCCATCTCCGTGGCGGCTTCTGCCCTCATCAGTCTGTGCATTGCCACTCGTAGCGCTGAGGAGCCAGCTACTGCCGTATCCCAGAAGCCCGCCGCTGCCTTGCTCCAGGTGGCTACTATGGGCCTCCTGGCTGCGCTCCAGATGCGGCGCGGCATGGGCATGAGGCCGATGGGGCGCTCACCGCCGATTCCTGGCTTCTTGCCCAGCAGCAGCTCCAGCACCAAGTAGAATTGTCACGGCCACGCTGCCCGTTGCTCACAGCTGGTCAGGCACTGCACGAAGTCTTCCAGCCCCTGGGCGCCCATGGCCTTGAGCTCTGGAGCCCTCCACCAGTCCGCTCCTTGGCCAGCATTGCGCTTCAGGTGCTGGATGATGGAGCCGATGATGTCCTTGCTGATGGGCTCGAGGGCATTCTCTTGGGCCAAGGCAGCCTGCCTCAGCTTGGCCAGCGCCTCTTGGATCCTCTCGGCCTTCTGTGCATCTCGTGTCCACCTGCGTTGCCATGCCTCTTTGCGCAAGTCCACCAGCTGCTGCGGGTGGTTGATGACCTGGCCCTCGTGCTCAAGGATGTCCTCCAGGTGGCTGCGCTCCGCTGCCTTGGTGTAGGCGTGGGCCATCTTCGCACTGCCTGCCGTGGCGTCGTGCACCCAGTAGATGTACGCCTTCTTCACCGCCTTTGTGAGTAGCTTGGCCATGCTCTTTACCTCCTCTGCTACCCTGCTGATCGTCCCTGGGTCCACGAGGGCGCCCTCTGCTATCGCGTGCAGGTCTGTGAGGAGGGCCTGCTGCTGGTCCTTGGCTGCACCTTCTTCGTTCAGCCTGCCTGGGTCAGGCTGGTTGAGCTGCTGCGCGAGCTGCCGTCTTGTGTTGATCTGCTGCTGCGTCTGGTGGCCGCTGTGGGTGCGGACCTGCAGCTCTCGGCGGCTACTCGGGCCACTGCCTGTTCCTGGAGCATCATGTAGTTGTCTTCGCGCTGCTCCTTCTGGTGCTCGTTCGCCTATAACTTCTCGCATAAACCTCCGCAGGTTAGCAAGCTCCCTCCAATGCATCATTTCCAATTCGTGCCTCCTCGTCGGCTCCTCTCGCGTAAGACCTTGGAGAAAGCCTCGGCGTCGTGGTTCTGCATGTCTCCATGCTCGCTCGCAGAGGTCCCTGATGATGTGGCTGAGGCCGGCCTGCTGGTACCTACGCCTGAGCAGTCTCACCATGCCATTGTTGCCTCCGCCACCCAAGATGGTCTCCAGGAACGGCACACAGATCTGCATCCAGTTGCTGTTGTCCGTGGGGAGCTGCACCAAGTTATCCATCCAGATGGCCGCCCAGTACTCCAGGTCGTCTCTCATGGCCACGTAGTCTTCCCGCTCCCGCTGGTGCTGGTCATCATTCCAGAGGTCTGGTGGGGGCAGGCCCATATCTCGTGGCTCCTCTGCCTCTGGGCCTGGCGGCGCTTGGTTCTGACTCCCCAGGTGATCGGTACCCTCTGCCTCCAGAGTGCCAGCTGGCTGAGGAGGTGAGCAGTGCGTGTCACCTGGGGCAGTTTTACCAGATCCAGCTGCATGACGACGAACGGTCTGGCCGTAGTCGATGCTGTCCTGCTGCCCCTCGATGAGCTGGTGGTGCCCGTCGCAGTCCTCCTGATCTGCGGTCTCCTGGCGGTACTGCAAGCAGTCCTCCTCCTCCTCGAAGGGGTCGTGGTCTTGGACGTCCATGGCGCTGCGTCCTGCTGGTGGGGGAAAGGCAGATCCAGCTGCACGACGGCGAGCGGTCTGGCCGAACTCGAGGCTGTCCTGCTGCCCCTCGATGTGCTGGTGGTACCCATCGCTGTTCTCCTGGTCTGCGATCTCCTGGCGGTACTCCAAGTAGTCCTCCTCGTCCTCGAAGGGGTCGTGATCTTGGATGTCCATGGTGTTGCGTCCTGCTGGTGGGGGAAGGGCACCCCTCTGCATCCCTTCTGCGCAGCTGTCTGCGCTGCTGTGGGTTGGTCCCGCGTCGAGGTCTGGGACGCGTCCCGTGGCGGCGCACTCGGGGGACGGGAACCCCTGACCCATCTCAGAGCAGGGGCCAGCTGCCTTCCCATGGTCCGCTGCGCTCGCCTGTGTGGGGGATGGGTACCCCGAGGAGAGTGGGGAGGGGCCTACCTCTTTCTCTGGGCCAGGCCGCCTCGCCCTCATCTCTTGGAAAGCTGCACCCGTCTCGGAGGTCCAGGACGCGTCCATTGGCGGCGATGCTGGGCTGAGGCAGGGTCGCTCTGGGCTCTCTTGGGCTGGCCCCTCTGCGAGCTCCTGGACCTCAGCCTGAGGAGGGGAGACCTCCTCAAGTGCTGGCTGATTCGCGATGTCCTTGGTGCTACTGCCGCCGCCTCCTGCTGCGCCTCCACTGCCTGCACGCCGCTGCTGCAGCTCGGGGGGGCCCCCACCCCGCTCGGTGGGGGCGCGATCCCCCGAGCTTCCCCCCGAGCTCTTCGATGGGCTCATGGCTGGTGCGGGAACCCCGTCTTCGTGGCCTACCTGGCTGCCAGACATGACGGGGCCAAGCTCCGGCGCCGACGGGCCCTGTCCACCTCCTGAGTCCTCATCGGGAAGTGCCTGGGTCTTGCCCTGTCGACTTGCTGCTGCCTCCTGCGCTCGGGCATCATGGTGCGAGAGCTGACGCACCAAGGAGGAGATCTCCGCCCACCACGCGTGGATCTTCCTTTCGACCCCTGCCCATGGCGTAGAGGTGACGGTGTCCTTGATGCTCACGCTCTTGTAGCTCGGGGGCCTGCTGTGCCCGAGATGTCGTCCACGCTCTTCCTCTGGGATGCCGATGCTCTCGCACAGGCTGAGCTCGAGGGTGCTTGCGAAGCGGTCGTACTGTTGCCCCAGGTCCAGCATGTCCCGCTCCATCATCTTGCCGACGACTGCGTGCTGCAAGTGCTGGGGCAACTCGTCGCAGGCGCGCGCGCTGACCCGCTCGGAGGTGGCCTGCCACAGCTCGTCAGGGATGACGTGCTGGACCTCCTTGTCGTAGTCCAGCTGCGGCACTGGCTCCATGTCGTTCTCGTCCAGGTCGCATCCTGCCTCTGCCAACGCTTGCTGACGTCGGCGCATGGCCTCCTGGCCTCCGCGCGCCGCTCGTCTGCAAGCGGCTCTGGACTTCGGCATTCTCTCGACTGTGACTGGCGGCTTTATGGCTGCTGGCCTGCGAAGTACCCTGCCCTTGAGCATGAGAGGCCGCCCCTTCAACTTCAAGCGGATGCCGATGCGCGGCTTCCACGGCACGGTCCTGAGCAGCTCCAGCTGGTCGAAATACGGCGCCAGGCCCTGCGAGATCAGCGCGAAGTCGATGCACCTGGCTTCACCTACTGCTGGGAAACATGTGGGGGCGCCATCCTCCGCCGCAGCTGCTTGAGCATTCAGCACCCTGGGCCACTCCGACGGCGTCATGTTGAAGTCCCCAAGCGCTGCCCAGGGCCCTCCCCAGACGGCCACCTTCTCCCGCAGGTCGCAGAGGATGTCGACGTTCCTCTCTCCAAAGCCCGTCCCACACTCAAGGTAGACGAAAGCCACTGCGAAACGGACCTTGTGCAGGTTGGAGATCACCACCGTGACGTCACTGCCGTCCTCGTGCAGGTAGTGCTCATCGAAACCCGCGATCCTGTCCAGGATGTCAAAGGATCCTCGCGTGATGGCACACGTGCCTCCTCGAGTGCCTTATCCTTCTCCTGGCCGTGCCTTGGTCCAGTAGCTGTGCATGCCATTCCTCCTGAGCGCCGCTCTTGCCTAGCTTATCTGCGCAGGCTGGCGGGGGTGGTGCTCCGCGATGCCAATGATGCCCCTGTCCTTGGTATTGTTGATCTCCATGAGGTAGCCCTGTGCCTGGGGGCCCCAGGTCGTGACGTTGAAGAAGTCGATGTGGCACGGGCGGCGAGCCTTCTTCGCGCTCGCCTTGGGGCGGCTACCCTGCTGAGTGGTCACCTTGCCCTTCTGCGTCGACGACTGTCTCGGCGCGACTAGCCTGCGAGACCTTCTCTCGCGCCTCCTGGATGTGGGCCTCCACTCTGGCTCGGCGTTCTTCTGCTTTGTCATGTTCTGCTGCGCCTGCTTCTGGTTGGGCAGCTGCTGCGGCGCCGGTGGGCGCAGCCGCGGCAGCTGTCCCTGCTGCCTCAGTGCATGTGGTGGCACCTCGCTGAGGGGCTGGGCTGGCGGCGCAGACACGCTTGCCTGGTGGGGCTTCTGCTGCTTCTGGGTCTTGCTCTCCGCTCTTTGACAGGCGCTTGGTGCGGGCCTGCTCGAGCTGGCGCAGCTGCTCCTGGTGCCTGGCCGTCTCTTCCTCCAGTAGTCGCAGGTGCCTCGCCGTCTCCTCCTCGTGCTCCTTGACCGTCTGGGCCATGCGCTCGCCCTTGGCCTTTGCTGCTCGCCAGACCTGCTTGTCGGGCTCGGACCACTTGTGGAAGTCGTCAGGCTCATGCTCGAACTGCTCCAGGAGGGCTGCCAGAGTTGGCTTCTCGGCTGCAGGTTCAGCTGGTGCCTCTTGCTTGCCGACTATGGCCTTGAGCTTGTCGAACTCATCTTCGGCTGCAATGGAGGCTTCCATGGCTTCACGGAGCTTGCGTTCACTCTCAGCCAAGTGCTGCTGGGCACTCTCAACTTGCTCCCCTGCCGATCGTACTTTCTTCTGGAGTTTGTCCAAGCGTCGAGCAGCTGCCTCCACTGCCATGAATCCAACGACTGGTTGGTCTGCTGGTGGCTTGGCTGCGGCGAGCTCTGGCCAGAGGGCCTCGTAGTGCTGCCTGAGCGGGCCGTCCTTGCTGAGCTTGCTGTAAACTGCTGCGGCGGCAGCCTTGAGGTCGACAGTCTTGTCATGAGGTGGTGGCTGGCGTTGGCCTCCTTGTCCTTTCCCGCCTGCACCACCACCTGGCTGCCAACCATCTGCCCAGCTGATCCTGGGCGAGGTTCCTCCTTGGGGCTGTGCTGCCAGCCACCCACCATCGTCGTCACGGAAGACATGACCGTCGGGGACGAGGCAGGCGAGGTTCTTGCCGCAGATGCAGAGGTCGCCCCTGCTGGTGATATTCTTGCAGTAGCGCCATCTGCTGCACCCGTCACACACCACGTAGCTGCTGCGAGGAGGGCGACTGCCACTGCTGCTCCTCTTCCACGGGGGAACCCTCTGGCGATTCGGGGTCCCCGACCAGGCGCTGCCCGCCCCGCGTCCGCCGCCGCCACTCCCCATGGCTGCAGCGGTGCCGCGCGCGCGCGCCCGACGCCCGTCTGGGAACTGTCCTCGGTCCAGAGGTCTCCCTTCGGCCTGGAGGCTGGACAGCCCCCCAGGTCGTCATCTTGAGCCAAAATGGCTACGGAGGAGGAGGAGGAGGAGGAGGAGGAGGAGGAGGAGGAGGAGGAGGAGGAGGAGGAGGGGGAGGAGGAGGGGGAGGAGGGAGGAGGAGGAGGAGGAGGAGGAGGAGGAGGAGGAGGAGGAGGAGGGGGAGGAGGAGGAGGAGGAGGAGGAGGAGGAGGAGGAGGAGGAGGAGGAGGAGGAGGAGGAGGAGGAGGAGGAGGAGGAGGAGGACAAGGAGGAGGAGGCGGAGGAGGAGGAGGAGGAGGAGGAGGAGGAGGAGGAGGAGGAGGAGGAGGAGGGAGGAGGAGGAGGAGGAGGAGGAGGAGGAGGAGGAGGAGGAGGAGGAGGAGGAGGAGGAGAGGAGGAGGAGGAGGAGGAGGAAGGAGGAGGAGGAGGAGGAGGAGGGAGGAGGGAGGAGGAGGAGGAGGAGGAGGAGGAGGAGGAGGAGGAGGAGGAGGAGGAGGAGGAGGAGGAGGAGGAGGAGGAGGAGGAGGGAGGAGGAGGAGGAGGAGGAGGAGGAGGAGGAGGAGGAGGAGGAGGAGGAGGAGGAGGAGGAGGAGGAGGAGGAGGAGGAGGAGGAGGAGGAGGAGGAGGAGGAGGAGGAGGAGGAGGAGGCGGAGGAGGAGGAGGAGGAGGAGGAGGAGGAGGAGGAGGAGGAGGAGGAGGAGGAGGAGGAGGAGGAGGAGGAGGAGGAGGAGGAGGAGGAGGAGGAGAGGAGCCCCCCCCCCGGGACTGTCCTCCCCTGAGTGGCGGCCCCCCCGCAGCCCCCCCAAAGCGGCGCAGGCAAGGGTCGCTCTTGCTTGGGGTCACCTCTGTGCGTGCAACCGCATCCGGTGAATCACGGCCTGCCTCTCCTCGCCGCTGGGACCGCGATGCCTTCGCCTCCTGGCCGCCCGGACTGACCGTGCACCGGATTGTTCTGTGCCCGAGGCCTTCCCCCGCAGCCCTCGTGGTGTGGACCATCTACACTGGAGACCCGTGCCAAGAAACACCCTGCTTGCCTCCAGGGTGCCCTGGGTTTCCGGGGTCTCGATGGTTTTGCCGTGGAGAGCGCGACGCTCCCATACCAGGAATCGATGGACGTGTCTGGGGTCTCAGGGCCGGGTTTCCTGTGGACGGTTTCTCGTGGAGGGGCCCCCACTGTACGCCCGAGGCCTCCCCCCCGCGCTCCCCCCTCCGCGGCCGCCCTCGCCCGAGGCCCCCCCCCCCGCGCTCCCCCCTCCGCGGCCGCCCTCCTCGTGCCCGCCGGTCCGGTGCGCCTCCGCCACGGAGGCGGCCCGCCGGCGGAGCGCCCGCGTTGGCGTCGTCCGCCCGCGCCGCGGGCCAACACGTCCAGCGGCAGGGGAGGACAGTCCCGGGGGAGGACAGGGGCGGACACGGCGCGGTAAGGCCGCCGCGGCAAGGCCGCCAGGGCCTTGGACGCCGAAGTTGGCACTGTTTGGGCGGCAGACTGCCAACACACCCTGAAGGGCTGGCCAATGAAAGCCACGACTGGCAGGCCGCAGAGGCAAGGACGAAAGGGTACCCCAAGGACATCCGTGCAGCTTTTTGCGTGTAGCCGACGGATGCGGAGCCAACGAGTCCGAGCGGGGCAGGTGCCCCTCGCACGCTGCGGCGCAGCGGCGGCCGCGAGGAGAGGGTGAGAGACCCCAGCCTTAGGTCGGGCGCGTCCCCGTACAGGCGCATTTTGGACGAAAAATAAAAGATAACCCCCAAAATGCTCAAACACATGCAAAAATTGTCAAAAAATCGTCCCAGGCTATTTTTTTATTTTTGTTTGAATCTTCCTCCTGTAGAGGGACAGGCCCGATTGAACCCCAGCCCCGCGAGGCTTCGACGGCAGGCGCCAAGGCAGGCACACGGCCCCGCGCGCCAGGACTCCGGCGGAACGCAAGGGCGACCCCCGGGCACGAGCTCGGCGAACGAAGAATGACATGAGCACAAAAACTCGGAGTTCCGCGCGGTTTCCTCGGATCGGTGCCGGGGCCCCATGCCGGCATGCGCAGGCATGTCGACCTCGGCGCACCGATGTCACTCCAGACATGCGACGTCCTGACTTTTTCAGGACGGCGTCCCCGGAAGTCCAGACCCTTTCCCCGGGGCCGGTTTGTCATCCTGAATCGTTTTTTGAAGGTCCTGGGGCCCTGCGAGGGCCCCCTGGGGCCGAAAATAATGAAAAACCTCTCGTCCTGAACTTTTTACGACGCGATCATGTCTGGGACAGTGCCGGCGTCGTCGCTGCGGCGACGTCGACGTCCCCGCTGCGGCCTTCCGGCGTCCAGGTCGAACAGGTCAGCGATGAACTGCGTCCTTCGGGCTGGGCGAAAGGGGGGGATAGCAGAACCAGCTCACGTAGCTGATTTTCCTGGCGCCTCCCGGCGCCGGAGGCGGCCATATATCGAGGAATGGGCCCCTCGGTGGGGCCGAAACCAGCTGCATGCAGCAGATTTCGCACCCCCCCTTTCCCAATCCCCCCCCTTTCGTCCGGCCCGAGTCCTCCGGGCCCCCCCCGCGCGCTCGCTCGCCCCTCCCCCGCCCCTCCCCGCGCCGCGAGGAGGGCGGCCTCCGCGGCCGCCCGCACGTCTGGCTCGTGCGCAGTGCGGGCCCGCGCTGCTCTTCGGGAAGAGGAGAGAGAGAGAGAGAGAGAGAGAGACCGAGAGAGTCCGAGAGGGGGCCCCTCGGAGAGGACCTCTTTGTCACCTCGCCTGGGTTTGACGCACCCAGGCGCGTGCCGACTGAGGAAAGGGGTGGGGGAGGACGAGGAGGAACATGAGGAATCAGCTCACTCCCGTTCGCTTCACCTCAGCAGGTGTTCGGTAATGCTGGCGTCTACTTCGACGAGACAGCTGAACAAAAAACCTCTCCCGAGAGACCGTGCAGCGCACGCGTATCACTCACGGGTACAAGTTCATGCATTGCCCATCTGCGCCACATCCCATGCATTTTCCAGCCCCCAACGAGCTGGTACTCCTTTTGACGCGCTCTCCTCCTCCTGGCCCTCTCCTGCTCCTGCTCCTGCTCCTGCGCCTGCTCCTGCTCCTGCTCCTGCTCCTGCTCCTCCTCCTCCTCCTCCTCCTCCTCCTCCTCCTCCTCCTCCTCCTCCTCCTCCTCCTCCTCGCCCAGCACAGAATTCACATGTTGTCCAAGCATTGTGAGAGGCCTCGCAATGACGAGGACAGGAGCAATGCTGGCACCACGGCGCTGCGTCGTTTGAGGAGGGGGCTGCATCCTGAGGAACTGTGGGCGGTCACATGTGCTGCTCATGAAGCCCCGCACTCTCGTTCTGAGGCAGGATCGCACGCTGAAGCCACGAGGCCGCAGCAGATCCGTCACTCCTATCGATAGGCTTGCCGCGCTGAGAGCTCGGATTGCCGAGAAAGAGGTGGCCAGGCAGGCGTGAAAGGAGTAGAAGCTTCTGGTTCAGTCAAACGTGACACAAAATCCTCCTCCTCCTTCTTTTCTTTCCTGTTTCTCCTGCTCCTCCGCCTCCTTCACCCTCACCTCCTTCACCTCCTCCTCCTCCTCCTCCTCCTCCTCCTCCTCCTCCTCCTCCCAGCGCTGACGGCTGACCTTGCTGGCATTGGATCCGACAACGGTGCTGCTGCCCCCCCCCCCCGTCCACCCCTGGTCGCCGCCGGGGTGGGGGCGGGGGGGGGAAGGACCATCGAAAACAGGTGGCCCCTGGCTCGTGGTCCACGTGGGCAGCGATAAAAAACCGGTCTTACGCGAGACGGCGTAGCGAGACGACCCGATGGCTCACGCGGGCCGCCAGCGCGGCACGCTGTCCTGGAGACGAGGGCGCCTACGCGCGACCTCACGCGGGCTGCCGACGCGCCAACGTCGGCGCAGACGACCCCCGTTGTTTGGCGTCGCTCGCGCGGGGGGTCCCCGGTGCCGAGCACCACCACGAAGGGCCCCACTGGCGTGCTGCGTGGCCGGCGCAGCGACACGCGGGTTAAGTCGGGCCTGTCCCCCTACGGGGGGATTTTGGGCGACAAATAAAAAATGATACTCCAAAGATGCTCCCAGAATGCCCCAAGATGATCAACAAAAATCCCCGGACTCTCTCTCTCTCTCTCTCTCTCTATATATATATATATATATATATGTATGTATATATAGATATATGTAAATATAAAAAAAACACTATTTCTGAGTACTCCCCCTGTAGATTCCCCCTGTTTTTTTCCTATGTGTTATTATATTTTAGTATTGCCCCGGTATATTTCTTACTATGTTTGAGTATTCCCCCTGTAGAGGGACAGGCCCGACTTAACGCGAGGGCATGCGCCCAGGCCGCTGGCGGCCACCGGCCCCCTCCTCGAGCCCCAGCCGCTGAGCCTCGCGTTTGCGTACGCTGCGCGGGCTCCCGGCGCCACGCCTCCTGCGCTCCAGGGCCGCCGGGCCTCCTCGCGCTCCTCCGCGCCCCTGCCGCCCGCCCGGCCCTCCACAACGGGTGCGCCCGCGCCACGGGCGCGCGCCCAGGGACAGGAAGTGGGAGGGAGGCGGGAAAAGTCCGCCGGCCCCGTCGGCGTGTGTGAGGGGCTTGTCCGTTCGGCTCGTCCTCTCCGTCATTCGTTCGTCGTCGTCTCTGTCGCCCCCCTGCCCTGCCTCCCCCTGCCCTGCCTCCCCCTTTCCCTGGGCCCGTCGCCGTTCCCCCTCTTCGTCACAGCCTTCCCCCTGAAGCGCGCAAGGCAAAGCGAAATTAAGCAACGTTGTAATTGAGTCGAAGGGTAGCCCCTTCCCGTTGATCCCAAGACGGCCCACGATGCCTCCAAGAGGACCTCCAGGAAAGCCCGAAGAGGTCAAGATCATGGATTTACCAAAATATTTGAAAGATGTTGACGTTCCTGTTTGGCCTTCCGACGGCCCAAAACGGTACAAGAGGTCAATACGGCCCCAGAGACCCCCCAAGACCCCCAAGATGGCCCCAAGACTGACCAAGAGGCTCCCAAGACTGCCGCAGATGGCCTCAAGATGACCTCCCAAACTGCCCAACACGGCCCAAGATGGCCTCCAAGACGGCCCAAGAAGGTTCAAGAGGCCTCCAACTTCGCCCAAGACGCCTCGAAGACGGCCCGAGATGGCTTCAACAGTGCCCACGACGGCCTGAAGGCAGCTCCAGAGGCCCCCAGACGGCTCAAGAGAGCTCCAAGAGGCTCTCCAGATGGCCCCCAAGAGGCCGAACATCGAATTGTTACTTCGGTTTTTGACGGACTTTCGCGCGCTCGGCTGTCAGGCCTTCTGACGGCTCGAGACTGTCCAAGAGGCTTCCGAGATGGCCCCAAGACCGCCCGAGAGGCCCCCAAGAGGCCCCCAGGAAGGCCCCAAGACTCCCCGAGAGGGCCCCAAGATTGCCCAAGAGGCCCCCAGGACGGCCCCGAGAGCGCCCCAAGATTGCCCAGAGACTTCCAATATTGTCCAAAGCGTCCCAAGAAGGCACCAAGACGGCTCAGAGAGGCCTCAAAAACAAGCTCCGAAGGCGTCAGACAGGCCAAGAGAGCCAGAATACGGCCCAAGAGGCCCCGAGAGGCTCCCACGAGTCCTCCGAGAGACCTTTAAGAGGCCCCAAGAGACCTCCCCCTCCTCCCCCTCCTCCCCCTCCTCCTCCTCCTCCTCCTCCTTCTCCTCCCTCTCCTCCTCTCCCTTTTCCTCACCCAAATGTTCCCCCAAGGGTTTCCACAACGGCTGGGGGAGCACAGAATCGAAAACTATGGCCAAGCTTTGGCCCGTAATTTCGCCACTCAGGGAGGCCCCCAAGCATTCCCCTGATGCACCCAAGATGCCCCCAAGAGGCCGCAAGATACTTCAAACTTGTTTCTGAGAGGCCCCCGAGAGGCCTCTCAAGAAGCCCCAACACGCCTCTGTACGTCCGCGGCCTTCCTGAGGCCTCCCTCTTAATCCCCCTTTCAGGGTCGGCGGGGGCCTGCCGTAAAGCCTCTGCGATATAGACGAAGAGCGAAGGAAGATAAAAGGCTGATTGTGGCTGCCAGCGGTGCTTTTCTCACTGGTGAGCCGAAGGTCAAAATGAGCCGTCAACGCTCGTGCTCATGCTCAGGGCGGCTCCGGCTGTCCGAGCCGTCGGCGGTGGTGCTTTCGCTGAGGGTGGCTCCGTTTAAGTGGCGGTTGAGGTGGTGGGCTTTGCCTCGGTGCTCCAGGCCCCAGGGAGGGGAGGAGAAGGCGAGGGGACCTCGAGCGCAAGGGAGGAGAGGCGGAATGCCTGGAGGCCTCCGCATCCTTCTCCTCCTCCTCCTCCTCGGCCTCCCACTCGGCCTCCTCCTCTTCCTCGGCCTCCTTCTCGTCCTAACTGATCATGATTCCCACCCTCCTCCCCAGCGTCCCCTCTTCTCCTCGTTCTCGGCCTCATCACCCTCATCCCCCCTCCCCCTAGCCTCTCTCCCCCTGCCCCCCCCTCCTCATCCCCCCCCGACGCTCCACTTGTAGGTGCCGCCGAGCTCATCTCGGACGAGCATCAGCAGGATGCCCAGCTGGTTCTGGCCCTCGCCGTCGAAGTTGTCCGACCAGACCTCGGGGAGACGGACGCCGGGCGAGGAGGCGGAGGAGGGCCGGCGGGCGACGGAGAACGGGGAGAAGGAACGAGAACAGGGGTGAGGAGGAGGAGGAGGAGGAAGGACACGGACGAGGACGAGGAGGAGGATGAGAAGGAGGAGGGCGAGGAGGAGGGCGAGGAGGAGGACGAGGAGGACGAGGACGAGGACGGGGCGGAGGAGGACGAGGAGAAGAAGGACGCGGACGAGGACGCGGCCGCGGAGGAGCGGAGGAACGGAGGCGAGCGAGCGAGGCGCCCGCCCGGGGCCACACGCGATGGGGCGCGCACGCTCTCGCGCCCTGGCCGGGGCAGTGGCGCGCGAGGCCGTGGTCTCGCTCAAGGCCCGGCGAGTGCTGGCTTGTACGACGGGGGAGGGCGCGCTGCCACTTGGCCTGTCTTGGGACAGCTGTTCCCCCAAAGAGGGGTCTCCGAACCTTCCCCCCCCCCTCCGAACAAGAAGCAACGGGCCCCTCCGAAACCGCCCCCCCGTCCCCCCCCCACCGCTCCGTTCCGCCCGCCTCCCCCCGGAAGCGGGGGGAGGGGGCAGACCCCCCCACTCCTCCCCCCCGGCCGGCGCAATAAACCTAAGCAGGCTGCCGCGTTCCCGCTTCGTCTCGGGCCCCACATGGAAACCCTTCACACCACCCCAGGGGAGATCTCTCAGGACTTCCAAAAAACATGTCGGAGGAACAGACAAGGCGGCTAGTCGCAGCCAGGCGCAAGTTCGTGATACGTGCAGTTCTGGAGTCACGCTTCCCCCCAAATCAGCGAGGTCTCTCGGTAACATCCCCACTCTGGCTACGATTGAAATTGGCATCCACAAGCTGGCCTCGTGTACGGCTGCTGGTCATGACGGTCATGTCCACTTCACCTATTCAATGGTGATGGTGCTGCAAGATGCACAGCTTGGGGCGCGTGATGGCATGGGCATTGATTCTGCGAGTCACTACTTGCTCACCAGATGTTCTGCCCAGGCCTCAACTATCATATCGTCTTTTGTCATTTTCACAGACCTATGCCCTGCATTATGTTCACTTGTCCGCCAGCAAGGGCCTGCGCTGCCGGCAGAGAGCACAAATTGTCTTGACCTTGGCTCCCCAAATCTCCCCCCTGCGCTACACTATGCTAGTTCCAATCGAGCCCCTCTGGGAATGCTGGATCATCATATCAGCCTGGCAGATAGCCAGAGCCATGGCCGCTGGAACATTAAGGGGGCTGGCGGCGACAAACGACCGCTTGTAAGAAGCAAGCCTGGCAATATCAGTCACTGATACGTTCAACGTTGGCTTCGCTCCAATGGTTTCATACATTCAAGATGCGCTCGAGACTGAACGCATGCTTTGGCAGGTTCCTCCCACCCAGCCCCTCTTCAGCCACCCACAACGGGTGAAGGATCAAAAGACCAGCTCGTGTGTTGAAGATCTCAACGCAATCGGAAGACTGGCTGCCGCACGAACGTTGCAGACGGCTGCGATTCGTGCCGTGAATATCACAACGGGCGCCGTTCGGAAAACTGGCATCGCAATGACTCGCGAGAGAAGGGCTCGTCTTGTTTTCCAAGTCGGAGCGGGGGGCCGAGATGCTCGCAAAGAACTTCGGTGTTAGACCCCGCAGCGCATGCTCGTGCCCAACTTGAGAGCCAATGTTGGTCACCAAACACATGTTTCGCTCTTTGGGTACCCTTGTCTGCATGAGCGGCGAGACGACCCGCGAAATTGCTCGGCGGACTGCCAATGCGGCAGGTGAGCTCCGTCCTATCCAACGGATGCGTGTGCCCAGGAAGACACCCGACACCTCGCTACAGGCACAATCTGATGAGGCTTACACCATGACTGGCATGATGTTCAATGCTGCCATCAGGAATGCCCTCAGCAGTCTACTCCTTGAGAAGTTGAGCACCACCCAGGCCAAGATTTTCAAAACTCCCATGGGATTGGCATGGGGCAATAATGATGAGGCACACCATCCCAGCCCATGCCGATGTGCTCGCGCTTTCTCAAAGGATCCCAGTCGATCAGGTCATGGGAATTGCGGATTTGCGACGTCTGGCGAAATTGTTGCGGGGTGATGCCTCCTCGCCTCCTTCAGGTTCTGGATTCTTTCTGGAGTCTACAGACGGGGTGGAACATGATAACCAGAATTGTTTGCAAGGGTCGACCAACTCGGCTTCAACATCAAGATACCAGGGTACGGAAGAGCTTCACTCTGGCTTCAGTGCATGAGAGATGCAAAAGGCGCTTCGTGGGCGTGCTGAAGAGCGCGGTCACACGCCCCCATTGGGCTTACCAGGAGCCGGCGAGTGCAACGATGTTTGCTGCACTTTGAACTTCTCACGCTCGCCAAGGGGGCGTAGTCAACGGCGGGCTGCCAACCCAGAGCAATGAGACCCCGACGCCTAGGAGTCCACTGAGGGGCCGAGTGCCGGGGGTCAAAGCCGCGGTAAGATGGAGCCCACAGCGCGGCACAGCGAACGTAGTGGCGCACTGCATCTGCACCGCACCCGCAAGCAAAAGCACATGGAGCGGCCTTGGGCCTTGGATTCTGGCAGATGTTCACGCGCGAGCCGAGCACGCGCAAGCGTCTTCAGCACTGCAGCCTGCCAAGCGGGAGTGTAACGAGCAAGAAGTGCATGGAGCGGAGCCCAAGAGAAGTCCCCAAGTACACCCGCCGCCAACATGCTTTGGAAACGGATTGTACGTAGCATCGTGCCCACGTTCAGAACATCAGCAGAGAGCGGGGAGGTGGTCGAAACGTTTATCGCAAGCTCAGAGCGAGATGCGAGAGCTGCTCTGCCGCTCGGTGGCCGAGCCTTCCTGGGTCTCGCGGAACTCGGATGCGAATCTCGCCATCGCTCGGACGTCCATTCCCCTGTGCATTGGCACATTTTCGAATTCGTGCGTGCTGTTTTGCCAGATGATCCGGGATGTTTCTTGATTAGTCCTTGCCGAGGAGGGGGAACAAAAACACGTCCGAGCGCTGCCAAGGAGTGCGGCGGGGCTCGCCAGCGAGACGCCGTCGGGGGCGATCTGGCCGCTTGGAAACGCCAGCGGTGGGGCTCTACCGTGGGCAGAGCGGCAACGCGGGAAGAGCCACGCCAAAGCACCCGCAAACTACCCCACGAGTAAACACGAAAAAAGCCACCGCCTATAACGCCTCGTCTGCGTCTGTCGCGGACCGTCTTCGCCGCCTCCCTGGCAATGCGTCTGCACGCGGACGGGCGCAGGAAAGCGAGGTCAGCCTGGCGTGTAAGGAGGCGGCCACAAGTCTGCCCGAAGATGGGCGCCCCGACGACGCAGCGCGGGGTGGGGCGCTCCTGCGACGGAGGCAAGCGGGGCCCCACGCGGAATGCCGTGAGCCGCGGCGAGTGGTCACTGATGATGGCGTCGTGCAATGCCTCTTGAATCGGGTCAACGTTCGATTGGGCACGCAGGTCTAGAATCATCTGCCCGGTGGGAGAGACAACGAACCGATCAATACGAGACGAGGAGGCCGACTGCTCGGCGCAGTGCGTGGGAAGGTCGCTGTGGAATTCGATGGACAGGTCCAGTTTCTGTTTCCACCTTCCAGCGTGTTGCCGATGGATAGAGTCGTGGTGTGCACCGACCCCCAAATCCCCATGGCGCGTTGAGGGCGGCGTCGTGAGGTATGGCGGGGGCGGGAGAAGTTGAAGTCGCCCATGACCACCACGGTGAAAATGTCGGGGTAGAACTCCGCGAAGGCACGATCGCGGTGCGCGGTGTAGACGGGCCGGAATCTGCGTAATCTGATGGCCACGACAACAAGGTGGTTGCACATTGTTACAGGGTCCCAGCGCGTCGCAGAAAGTGGCGGGGGTCAGGGCGCCCAACGCAACTTGGAAGCCCAGGCAAGTCGGAATGAAGCCGATGAGACTCAGAAGCAGAATCGAGCGCTGGGCAGGCACGACAATGCCACCACTGTTCTTCCTGTTCGTACGAACGGCCCGTCTTTTGTTTCGACCCACCCCCATCACTGGCTTCCCCTCCATACATTCCCACTGTTGAGCTCACTATGCAGAGGGTTTCTGATATGAATGGTAAACGATGGAGCTCTAGACCTCAACCTGGAGTGGACAGTCCGACTGCCCCTCTCGTCCAATTCCTGGGAACGCCCACCTTGTTGCGGCTTGAACCACTGGGAAGAGTGCAGGGAGATCTTGGGGGCAGGATTGCCATCTTGCTCGATGCGGGCACTCCCACGCTATGCACGGTTCATGCCTCGGAGCTTCTCGACCCCATTGTTCCTGCGACCTGGACGAGGTGGATCCAGGAAGGGCAAGTGAGTGGTGTCCTTGCGGCGCTGTCTGTGGCCGCGTGGGGGGAGTTCGTTGGGGGGAGGCCTGGCCACCCTCCCGCACCCGCCAGGGATTTAGAATCCAGGGGGCAGGAGTAGGGTGTAGAGGGGCTAGGAGAATCAGCAGATCAGGCTCAGCACGTTGCTACTGACAGAAGCGGCCCGAGCAAGCTTCTCAGGAAATACCCCCCCCACAAGGCAGCCTGGTCGGAGGCCATCCGACCTCTACTCGACAGGCTGCAGCGGTGGCAGACAGGGACCTCCAGTCGCGCGTGCTTTACGCAAACTTGGTGTGCATGACTGCCACGGAGGGGGCTTCTTCTTCTTCTTCTTCGTCTTCGGGCACTGCTCAGGGCCTATGTGGCCGCGGCTCCTTCCTCGTTCACGTGACCCCGCAACCAGCGCAACTCAGATCGTGAAGTAAACGTCGCAGTTGCAAGAAGCCCACATTCTCCGCGCACGCACACACACACACGAATAAGAAAGCAGCATCCGTCTCGACTGTTCTTGCGCTTCTTGACCTGCAGGCACGATCCTCGATACGGGAGACCCAGGCATGGCCCCTGAGAGACCGCCCCCCTGGGCGTGTCGCGGGGGCCGATGGGCCCGTTCCCGATCACGGACGCGGGCCCCCCTCCTGCTGGCGGCCGCCCAGGACGAATGCCCCCCCCCCCCGACGTCACTGCTCTCACTTTCCCCCCCCCGCCCCTCTCCTTGCACTTGCTTTTCTCTGCTGCTTTAGGCTACGGATCTCCAGACAGCCTCCACCGACGGACGGACCGAGTAGGCGGAGGAGGAGGAGGAGGACAAGCGTAAACCCAAGAGCCATCAACGGTGTTTGAAGAAACCCTCCCTCCAAGCTCCCTCTTCATAGGCCACTACAAGGGTTCATTCCACTGAGGGAACTGCCTCGTTGGAAGACAACCGTTTGAAGACCCGGAAGCATAGCAAAACAATGTTCTCGGGACTCCAACGCCACGCCGTGGCGTTGGAGTCCGTGGCGGCCACGGATCAACTTGACTGTTGCGTCTTGACGATCCTGAATCGTGCCAAAGCGCCGTTCCTGGGACTTCAACACCGCGAATCAACGTAACTGCTGCACCCTCATAATCCTGAATCTTTCCAGAACACCATGTCTGGTGCGTTGACCATGTGATTACACGAAGCTCTCGCAGATGTTGAAAACGAATGTGCGCAGCGCTGAAGCGAGAGCCACTCTTTGAAAAGGAACCACCCTCAAGCCGTGAAACTCTTGCAATTGGTTAGACGAATGTGCGCGGCGCTAAGGCGAGAGCCACATGGTGAAAACAACTCGCCCTCCATGTGAAACTCTTGCAAAGTTTTAAGACGAATGTGCGCGGCGCTAAGGCGAGAGCCACATGTTGAAAACGACCCGCCCTCCATCTGCGAAACAGTTGCCAATATTCAAGCTTTAGGGTCATAAATGGTGAAAGTCTCAGGCGAAACGCCCGGCCCGCCCTTTCGACCAGCCCCAGGGTGCGACAGGGAGAATTGGCGGTGCGCACAAGGGGGTGGAGGGTGGAGGGAGGGGGGAGGGCTTCTCAGAAGGAGGCTGCTTCTTAGAAGGCGCCAGCCTTACATCTATAGATAAGGCCCGCGCCTTCCAAGAAGCAGGGGTGCTTCTAAGAAGCCCTCCCTCCCCCCACCCCCCTCTGCGCGAGGCTGAGAGAAGGTATCCAGAAGGAAAAGGAATGGAGGCGGAGGAGGAGGAGGAGGACGACGACGAGGGGGAGGAGGGCCAGCAGGGGAGGGGAGGAGCGAGGGGTCCAGAGCGCGCCTCGTCCAGCCCCGACGCGACCTCGTGGTTCAGCAAGAAGGCGTCGCCCGTCAGCAGCAGCGCCGCGTGCAGCGCGCTCCCGGGCGCGAACTTCGCGCGCAGCACCTCCGGCGCGGCGGCGAGGGCGGGGAGCTTCTTCTTTTTCGCCTCTCCAGGAGAAGAAGAAGACATGGGGAGCGCGCGATCACTGAATCACATCACGACTGGCACGGTAGCGCGAAGCAGAAGACCGCCAGGCAAACTGGGATCACCACACGAGCCGACCTGCCATAGGCAAACTCGTGCGATCATCTATGGCCTATCGGCGGCGAGGGCGGGGAGCGGCCAGAGCCGTGCTCGAGGGCGGGAGGAGAGAGGAAGGAGGGAGGTACAGTGGAGGCCAGTCGACAAGAAACCTTCCACAAGAAACCCAACCCTGGAACCCCAGGACGTCCATGGATTTTTGGCGTGGGAACGTCACGCTCTCCATGGCAAAACCATCGAAACCCCAAGAAACCCCGGGCACCCTGGAGGCAAGCAGGGTGTTTCTTGGCATGGGCCTCCGACGGTATGCTGCCCAGCAGTGGGCTCGGGCGTCTTCGCCATCCCGAGCTCCTGCACCCAGCTCTCGTCTTGCTGGCCTGCGCTCGGCCTCGCTGGGAGCAGACCAACTGACGCTGCGCTGCGAGCGCGTCGCCCCCTATGGCTCGGCAAAGAAAACTCCTCCTCCTCCTCCTCCTCCTCCTCGCCGTCGTCCTTGCCCTCATCGTCTTCCTTTTCCTTTTCTCCTCTTCCTCCTCCTCCTCCTCCTGCTCCTCCTCCTGCTCCTCCTCCTCCTGCTCCTCCTCCGTCCCTCGTCCCCACGCGGACCCCAGGGATGGCCCGAAGAGGCCCTCCAAGGCATCCCCCTTGCTACCAGAGATCTTTCTGTTCACCCTGATTGTCCGCTTTGTTTCACTACATGTCTGTTCGTTCCGTTTCCAGTCAACTCTGATGGGCAGGGTTTGCGAACGGGCTGGTGGGGATGCGCGAAGCGTGAATAATAATATAGCCCCCCGCAACTGCGGACACCAGCGAGGGGGACGGTGGGGTCGTCGGCAGTCTGCGAAGCTCTGAAGATGCCCGCCGCAGGCGCCGAATTTTCGTCAAAGCAACGTGGGTGGATCGCGGGCGGGTCGCGGGTATGTCGCAGGATGGGTCGCAGGGTGGGTCGCGGGTTGGTCGCGGGGTAGGTTGCGAAAATGAGTTGCAGGCGGCGGGCGAGGACAACGACAAGATGGCAACAACAATCCGCGCCGCGGAACCCTACTTCAACCGCGCACCCAGAGACAGAGAATAACCGTTCGGCCCCCTCACTCTGATCAACCTCATCGTTGTCATCGTCATCATCCCTCCTCATCAACTAAAACATGATCCGCGTACTGTGACTCATATTCATCAGATTGCTCCTCCTGCCCCCCTACGAGCCAACACCTCCCCTCAGCTTCTCCGCGCTCCGTCGTCCACCCTCAGCATCATTCATCCTCCTGGTCCTGCTCCATGCTATTCTTCCTTCATGTGCTTTATCCTGGTTATCCTCATCTATCACCATCACCACCATCACAAGTATCATAGTCGTCATTTTCATCAGCAGCATCAGCATCAGCGCACGCACCAGCACAAGCATCACCATCACCACCACTATGGTCATCGTCAGCATTCCTGCATCTTTCTCCCCTCCTCCTCCCCCCTCCTCCTCATCCTAATCCTCGTGTTCCGTCCTCTCCCCATCCTCCTGTTCATCCCCTGAGTATCCCCCGCTCTTCCTCTATCCTCCTCCTCCTCCTCCTCCTCCCCCCTTCCCTATCGCATTACTCGTTCTGCTCATCCTTCTCCGTCTCCTCCTCATCATCATCTTCCTGGTCTACCTCCAGCTCTCCCTGTTACTCCTCGCCTCCTCCTCCTGGTCCTGCTCCTCCGCCTCATTCCCGCTCGGGAGGAGCTGGGAGAGGGGGGGAGAAGGGAGGAGGGGAGGAGGGAGGGAGGCAGGGAGGGTGGGGATGAGGGGAGGGTAGCAAGCGAGGAGAGGGGCAAAAAGAGAAGGCCGGGGGAGGAGGCGCCGCGTGCATGGCGTTCCACTTGCTGCCGAAGCCCCCGAAAGTGCTGTCCTGAGGGCGCGCCCGCTTCGCTTCGGGTGCGCGTCGGGGAGAACAGGGAAAGAGGCGAGGAGCACATGGGAGTGGAATGCGGAGAGGCGGAAATGAGGGGAAGATGAGAGGGAGTGGGAGTGGGGCGGGAAGAGAGAAAAGGAGGCGGAAGTGGGTGGGGAGGGACGACGATCGGGTCGGGAGAGGAAAGCGAGGAGGGCAACCAGGAGAAGAGGCACGGTAAAAGTCCGTCTAGTGTGGCGACAACGTAGTTACACTCATGCACGATAGATGAGTAAACCTCCTGCCCACTGGATGCGCACGGCGTGCCGGACTTCAGGGTCTTCTTTGGCGGCGAGCGAGGGGGGGAAATGCGAAGGGGAAGGCCTTCTGAGAAGGCGTCGGGGCTTCTCAGAAGCCCTCGCGCCTTCTGAAACAACAATCGGCGTCTTCGGGGAAGGCTCAGAAAACTTCTCAGAAGGCTGGGGGACTTGCGAGCCTTATGAGAAGGCCCGCCCCTTCGCACCCCCCCCCCCCTCGCTCGCCGCCGAGTTCTGGCTCCCCCAGAACATGTCCGCTGGGGGCTCGGCCGATCGCGCCGGCCACCCGGAAAGCCGGGGAAAGCCGCCCACGCGGCGGGAGACGAGGCCCACGACGCCCCCCAAACGGCCCACATGGCCCAGAAGGGTCTCCCAGATGCCTCCAAGACCGCCCAAAAGGGCCTCCAAGACGGCCCCAAGACGCCCCCAAGACGGCCAAGCCAAGATGCCAGACGGCGAAAGAGGCCCCCAAGACGCCCCACGAGGGCTCCAAGAGGACCTCCAAGACGCTAGAGTCATTGCTGTCCCGTCTGTGTGTGTAAATGGCTTTAGTGTTCTCGCCGTTTCGGGATCCCGACGCTCCAGGACTGCCCCCTCCGTAGGCCCCCAAGAGCGCCCCAAGACGGCCCCCTCGGCCCAAGAGGCCCCCGAGACGGCCCCTGAGACCTCCAAGACGGCCCTCAAGAGCCCAAGGAGAAACCCACGGCTGTCACGACTGCCCAGAAAAGGCCCCACCCAATACGGTCTCCGAAAGCCATGGTCCGTTAGAGGCCCCCGGAAGCCCCCACGACGCCCCCAAGAGGCCCCTCAGAGGCCCCTACGAGGCCCCCAGAAATCCTCTGAGGAGACCCAAAGAGAGCCTCAAGAGGTCTACTCTTCTTCTTCCTCTTCCTCCTCCTCCTCCTCCTCCTCCTACTTCCTCTTCCTCTTCCTCTTCCTCCTCGTCCTCCTCCTGCTCTTCCTCCTCCTCCTCCTCCTCTTCTTCCTCTTCTTCCTCCTCATCCTCATCCTCTTCATCCTCCTCCTGCGAAAACTGAACCTTGGCCACTCCCTGGTGCTCGCTGGCACTCTGACCGATCCTCTTCCCGAGGCTACCTCGTGCGAGCCTCCCGATAGGCCTCTGAAATTGGCCTGGGCCAAGACGGCGGCAGGGGGGCAACGGTGCACAGGCGGGCGGCGGCAGCCCCACCCCCTCACTCCCAGAGCACCAAGCAAAACTGTGCAATTCACACACACTCTCGAATCTATCGTTGCCTGGTACGGGCGTTGGTCTGCATTGCCCTTTGGGTCCTCGCTGCATGACCTCTGGCTCCTGACAGGCGCCTAGCTCCTGCGAGCCTGGCTGTCCGTCTCCATGGCGGTCAGCTCGAGGCCGAAAGACTCTTTCAGGATCCTCAGCAGCGCGTCGCGCTGGCCAGGGTCATTGGAGAGATCCTTGGAGATAGACACGGCTGGCATCTCGACTGTCTCCTTGTAAATCGCAGCCTCCTCGGGTAAGTCAGCTTCCTCGATCTTCACGAAACGAGAGTCTTCCTTGCCTGTACTGTACTGCTCTGGGCTGTGCCACGACCCTCAGACTCTTTCGGTGGGCACTGCATCCACTCTTTGAGATGACTGAACCACGCTGGCATCTCCATCGTGCAAGACGGGTAGTCGATCTTATGATGTCACTGTGGTAACTCAAGGTCACCTACGGGCTTCGATGTTGGCGGAACCCACTGTCCAAGACGGTTGTCGGGACCTTAACCACCGTCCTTGTCGACGCAGCCACGCAAATCACCATGCTGGGATAGCGCGGCTCCACGCCCGTGAGAGTCCAGCTAGCTACGCACGGTCTGCGGGTCACCTGTCGCCTGGAACCCGACCGTCTATTCGACCCGAAGGGTGGCCACTGGAAACGGCAAGGCGTTCGATCTCCGCGTGGACTTCGAAGCAGTCGAGGAAATTTCCCCAATGACTCAGCGGCATTCTCGTTCCTCGACCGCAGATTCGAAGAGTCAATGTTTCATCGGCCAACCGATGCACTCCTGATTTCCCGCGCGCTCGGGGTGGTTCGCGAGATTATGTCTTCTCTCTTTCGTCAGCGCATCGGCAAACATCCCCGACGTAGGGCCCCACCTGAGACAACGTCTGGACGTCTGCAGAGCCCGTCGGAATATCATGAGCTCAACGGCGCACCCCTGATCGCCCCGAGCCCCCGGGGATCAGATGTTGCCAGTGTCGTCGTAGGCGGACTGAGCACCGATGACGGCGGTAGCTTCAAATTTACGTAGTAATTTTGACCGATTCTCAAGCGTAAGCTGTATCGCCCGTTCCTGGTGCCCGAGACCATCCGCCAGCGCCGACGCACCCCCTCCCAGAAATAGTCGCGCAGCCCGATTGAGTCTATAGCATCGGGTTCCACGGAGTGGCCGATTCCTTCAGCGCACGCCTGGCGTCGCCACACTAAATTCATGCGCACCCTGAATCTTTCGAAGCTGTTTTCACCTTCGGGCAAGGTCCGCGCGAATCACCATCCGATGGTCCTGGAGCGGGATGTGAAAAAAAAACTGATGACCAGGTCCTTGCGCAAGCAAGATCTGGGCGCCGGCATGTTGGCATCTTTCATGTCCTTCGCTCTCGGACAGGGCATCAGATGCTGATTCGACCTCCGAACTCACCAATTGCCAGCCTGGTCTATCGAAAACCGCACAGACACTTCCTTGGGAAGGGCTTCGCTCTCGTTTTCAGCTTCGCGGGTTTCATCTCGTCGGCGTAGGTTTCGGGAACTGTGCGATGGCGCCGTCGGAAAGCCGCTGTAAACGCGATCCAATACATCCCACGACCCGCGCCTCCCTTTCCTGCTAGGGAACCGTCGTTTCAATTTCTCGGCAACCGCCCCCTGGAGTTCCCATCCGTCCCCTCCCACAGCGTCGCCAACGTGCATGCCGAGAAGGCAGCGCCACGCACCTAGGGGCTCTCGAGCTGAGCCAATCGGAACGCCCGCCGGACTTGCTGACCGTGGTCTGCCAGCGGCCACAGGCTCCAGCATCATGACCAGGCGCGGATCATGGGCCACGAACCCGATCTCCTCGGCAACTACACGTGGAGAACCATGCCTGGGGCTGGTCAACTCCGCCGTAGCCGTTGACCAACTCGCACAGTTGATCCAGGGGGTGGCCCCTTGGGGCGCGAATCCTCGGAGCTGCGACAGACGCTCGGCCATTCGGCTGCTCTTCGGCACCTGCTTCCAGAGACGCAACGGACGCCATCGGGATCCGCAGGAGACGAGCGGCGGCCACTCCTCGCCACCGCCAGCGGCCTGGAGGGGGCGGCAAGGGCATCCAGGCGTGGCGGTGGCCCCGCGGGGCGCCGCACTGGCGGCACTTCTCCGCCCTCACAAGCTGCCAAACAGTCGCCTTGCCAGTCGCCGACAGCGCTAGGCTCTGTGCCCCCCCGGCCCGAACCATCTAGGGGACACCTGGATCCTTGGAGCCCCTTGCGCCGTCTGCCGGCAGCGTGATGCCGCGCTGCCGTCGCCGTCGGTGTTCGGGGCAAGTGCTGGTCGAGATGAGAGGATGCGGTGTGCAACCTCGAGGCGGAGTCGACGAGACTCTGCGACGGATCGAGCCTTCCACACTGTCTGGTACACGTTCAACGCCCGAAGCCCCGTCTGAAACGTACTCTCCACTCTCCACCTGCTTCCGCCCCTCATCCGTCTGCCGCCTCGGGTCCTGCTCGCGTTTCCCCCGTCCTCCCTCGGGCAAGTCGTAGCTCTCTCCGCCACGGCGAGGATCGGCGCCTCCCCGCCCCCCCCCGTCCTCCGCTGCAGCCACCGCTCCAGCCAAAGCATGGCGCAGCCACCGTGCGTCGGGACCGCATACTGGGAACGAGGTGCCGCTGGAAAGTCTGAGAGGTTCCTTCAGACGGGCGTGCTCGGGAACCGGCGACGCCCCCTCTGGCACTGGAACCCGAAGGAGGAGGAAAACAAACGTTCGGAACGACTGCGAACCACTATGGAGCAGCGCGAGGAGGGAGGATGATCGGAGGGATTCGGGAGGAGAACACAGGGAGAAAGACGGGAGAAAGGGGGAAAGGGACGGGAGGGAGGACGGAGGCAGGCGGGGCGGGAGCGATGGGGAGCTGGCGGAAGACGAAGGCGAAGGGGGGGGAGGAGGGGGGGGGGGGGGACTGGGGAAAAGGGGAGGGTGAGAAAGGAGAAAAGGGGGGCGGAGAGGGGGAAGGGGAAATGGGGATAGGGAGGAGGCGCGGCGAGGGGGGGGGCCACTGGAGGGGCGGGGCGAGGTCTGTCCTCCTGGCCTTTCAGCTCGCGCGCCCGCTGCTGGGCCTCCTCGCCGGACAGGCTGGCGAACTCCTCCGCGGTGGCGACTCCACACAAACACTCTTCGATGCTTTTCCATCCTCCCTCGTCCGCGTCCTCCGTCTCCTCCTCCTCCACCCATTTTCCTGATGCGCATGTATGCGTGTATGTGCATGTATGTGTATGCATGTATGATGTATGTATGTATGTACGTATGCATGCATGCATGCATGCATGCATGCATGCATGCATGTATGCATGCATGTCTGTATGTATATGGCCGCCCCTCCAGCATCATACCTTTCGCCGTTCTGCGTGTCGTTCCCTCGTCTGTTCGTTCTTCGCCGTGGGCGTGTGTTCCCTTCTCGTTTGGTCCCTTTATATGTCTGTTCCCTTCACCGCCTTCTCTTCTCTCGTTTCTCCTGGGCGGAGATCTCCGCTCGCCGTCCCAAGGGGAGGCCCGAAAAAGGGAAACAACAAACATAACATTGTGAAACAAACTTCTTTTCACATGAAAAAGAGAAAGCAACTCCGCCTCCGAGGGGGGAGGAAGGAGAAACAAAGACACTACAAAAATCCTATCCTTTTTCCCATGGGGGGGAGCAGGAGGAGGAGGAGGAGGAGGAGGCGGATGTGGAGGAGGAGGAGGAGGAGGCGGAGGAGAGGGAGGAAGGGGAGGCCGCCGCAGGAACAAAGAGCGAAAAAGAGTAAGAAACATGAAAGTTATGAACAAACACTTTGTTTTCAAATGGAGAGAAAAAAACGCCTCCGAGGGCGGGGAGGAGGAACAAATGAAAAAACAATCCTGTCCTTTTTCCCCGTGCGGGGGGTAGCAGGAGGAGGAGGCGGATGTGGAGGAGGAGGCGGAGGTGGTTGAGAGGGAGTAATGGGAGGCCGCCGCAGGAACGAAGAGCGAAAAAGAGGAACAAAAAGGACAACTGTGAAAAAACTGTTTGCCGTGTGGAAAAATCCGCCTCCGAGGGCGGGAAGGAGGACAAAAGCAAAAAACTCCTTTCGTTTTTCCCGGTGGGAGCAGGAGGAGGAGGCGGATGTAGAGGAGAAGGCGGAGGCGGAGGAGAAGGAGGAAGGAGAGGCCGCCGCAGGAACGAAGAGCGAAAAAGAGGAGGAACAAAAAAAGCATAGGGAATAACTAGTGACCTCAACCCCCAAGCGCAGGGGAGGAACAAAGAGGAATAGTATCTGATCCCTTCGCCTCCGGAGGCGTGGAGGGGAATTCTCTTTTATTGTTATCCTCCGCGCTTGGAGGTTGATATTTTTCTTATTTCTCCTCTGTCTTCTCTTTTTCCAAGTGAAAACAACATTTGTTTCATATGCGTCAGATGTGTCTCCTCTTTTTCGCTCTTCGTTCCTGCGGCGGCCTCCCCTTCCTCCTCCTCCTCCTCCTCCTCCCTCTCCTCCTCCTCCTCCTCCTCTTCCTCCTCATCCTCCTCCTCCTCCTTCTCCTACTCCGCCTTCGCGTCCTTCCTCCCTCCTCCGCCTCCGCCTCCGCCTCCTCCTCCACATCCGCCTTCTCCTCCTCCTGCTTCCCTCCTTCCCAGTGGGAAGGAGAGGAGATGTTTTCCTCTTTTTTCCTCCTCCGCGCTTGGAGGTTGAAGTTTGTTTCCTCTTTTCCCATGTGAAAACACATGTGCTTTCGTACTGTTCTGTTGTTTCCTCTTTTTCGTTCGTTCCTGTGGCGGTCTCCCCTTCCTCCTCCTCCTCCTCCTCCGCGTCCGCCTCCTCCTCCTCCACATCCGCCTTCTCCTCCTGCTGCACCCCCCCAGTGAGAAAAGGATTCCTGTTGAAAGCCTCCGCAAAAGGATTCCTACTGAAATCCTCCACATAAGGATTCCCATTGAAATCCTCCATAAGAATTCCGATTGAAATCCTTCTTGAAACCCTCCACGAAAGGATTCCGATTGAAATCCTCGACAGAAGAATTCCGATTGAAATCCTCGACAGAACGATTCCGATTGAAATCCTCCACTGAAGGATTCCGATTGAACTCCTCCACAGAAAGGATTCCTCTTGAAACCCCATACAGCAGGATTCCGATTGAAACCCCCCACAGAAAGATTCCTGTGGAGTTGGAAAAGAAAAAGGCGGGAGGAGGAAAAAACAAAACCAACTCTTGTCCTTGCTCCTCCTCCGCCTCCGCCTCCGCCTCCGCCTCCTCCTCCACCCCCGCCCCTCTCCTCCTCTTGCTCCCCTCCATCCCAATGGGATAAAGGAGAGGAGATGTGTTCCTGTTTTGTCCTCCTCCGCGTTTGGAGGTTGAAGATTGTTTCCTCTTCTTCCCTCTGAAGACACACGTTTTTCCTATGCCTCAATTTGTTTCATCTGTTTCGCTCTTCTTTCCTGTGGCGGTCTCCCCTTCCTCCTCCTTCTCCTCCTCCTCCTCCTCCTCCTCCGCGCCCGCCTCCTCCTCCTCCGCGTCCGCCGTCCCCTCCTGCTGCACCCCCCAGTGAGGAAAGGATTCCTGTTGAAAGCCTCCACAAAAGGATTCCTATTGAAATCCTTGACACAAGGATTCCAATTGACTATTGAAATCCCCCACAGAAGGATTCCGATTGAAATCGTCACACATTAATTCCTATTGAACTCCTCCACCGAAAGGATTCATATTGAAATTCTCTACAGCAGGATTCCTGCAGACATCCTCCACATAAGGATTCCGATTGAAACCCTTCACAGAAAGATTCCTATTGAACTCATCCGCAAAAGGTTCTTATTGAAATCTTCTACAGCAGGATACCGATTGAAATCCTTCATAGAAGGGTTCCCATGGAAGATTGATTATATGGAGAAGGAGAGGATACACGGGTTGAGAGCGCGCGAAATGGCGGCGGAGGAGGACGAGGCGGAGGGTATCGAAGCGGAGAGCAACCTAGGAACAAACTTTGGAGGCGGAAGCGGAGGAGGAGGAGGCGGAGGTGCAGGGGGTTGGAGGAAAAAAAGCGATGGGGAGGAGGAGGACCAGATTGGACATTGGAGATTGGAGATTGGAGCGAAGGCGAAAAGTATGATACTGAGGGGGGCGAGCATGTATACATATATATATATATATACATATATATATATATACATATCTATATGTAAACACACAAGACTGCATTGGCGCTTCGCGCCATGCACCTTGGTCCTTGAGGCTTTGCTTATGTTGGTCGCTCGCGCCATCCCAAGTGGCCTTTCAAATTTGGCCCCTTCCCCGCGGTGGTTTTCGGATGTCTTCGAAAAGTTCGGGCGGTCCGTGGTCCTTCCAGGGCCTCCGGGGGTTCCCAATAGGCGCCAGGTGGAGGGCGAAGGATAAAGGGAGGGAACCTCGTGGAACGAGGAGAGGGAAGCGGATGTGGGGGAGAACTAGTGGTGGAGCGGCAGAAAGAGGAGGAGGAGGAGGAGGACCCAGAGGAGGAGCAGGAGGAAAGGAGATGGCGCCGTCGGACGACGGCGAAGAAATTCGGTTGCGCCGCACCGAGGAGCGCTGTCCAGAAGCCAACGGCTACGGGTTCATGTGTACGTACACGCTTGCAGATACGTTTGGCAGTGGATGACGACGCAAGGCCTTAGTAGGCCCGCACATTGTCTGCTCGTGGCTCAGGTGCCCCGGTGCGCAATGCGGTGGGAATGGTAAGCCACGCGAATGAATGCCAAGCAAGTCGACAAAATGCCAAGCAATGCCGCAAAGCAAAAACAATGCCAAGCCAAGGATGTCATGTTACAGCGGGTCGCAACGGGGCACGCGAAAATCAGTAATTCTTGAGATGCACCGAATCCCGGGTTCGCAGCAGATTTCTGAAAAATGTGGTTGCGAACCCGGGATTCGGATCAGTTTGGTGGAAAACGCCGTGTGGGCCTTGTTGGATCCCTGGTGGGCCGGGATTGGGGCCCTCTCGAGCAGTCCTGGGGCCATCTTGGGCCGTTTGGGGGAGCTTCGACCCTCTAGGGACCTTACGGGGGCTACGTGGGCCCTCCTGGTGGCCTCCCATGGCCTTTGTGGGGGCCGCCCATGGCCTTCTTGGGCTTGTCTTGGGAACCATGTGAGGGCCTGTTGGGCCTCTGTTTGGCTCATTTGGGGCTTCCTTGGGCAGTCTTGGGGCCATCCAGGCCGTCTAGAGGCTCTCTTAGGGGTCTCTTGGGCCGTCTTGGGGCGATACCAGAAGCCTTTTTGGCTGTTTTGGACGCTTGGACGCTGCTGAGACTCGAACAGCGAATACACTGACAATGCACGTTTCCCTCAGGGAATGAAGCGATTTTTGCGTTCTGGGAGTCTTGTTCAGGGCCTCCTGGGCCGTCTTGGGGGCTTTGGAGGCCATCTGGTTCTTTCTTGGAGCGCTCTTCTGCTGTCCTGGGTCTCTCTTCGGCCTCTCTGATCACCGCTCTGATCGCTTGGGGCCTGCTGGCAAGCCCCGGCCAAGCGCCCTGGGACCTTTGGCAAGACTGGAAACCCCGGATCCTGGGAGTCTGGTTTTTTGGGGGGGGTCCCACCCCCCGGCTTGGGGTCCCACTCCCACGGCTTGCAAAAATATAGGAAGAAAAGGTATATGTATGTGTGTGCTATATATATAGCATGTATATATATACATATATATACACACGCACACACTAGAACGATCGCGCGCGCTTCGCGCGCGCTCAGGTTCCAGCAAGCCCCAGGCCTTGACGAGTTCACTGCTCCACTGAAGTAATGGACCACAAATGGTTTGAACGGGAACTGAAGACGCGCCCATCACGCTGAACGCATTATGGGCAGTGAGAGATCCATGCGTGTCAATCCGCATTCCGGAAGGCTTTGGGGAAAGATGGCTGCGTAGGGGGGCGGAGGCCTGATGAATCGGGCTCCCAGAAGGCCTTCTGGGAACATGGGTTTGGGGGGCGTCTTGGGGGGTCTGTTGGGGCGTGCCGTCGTCGTCGTCGTCGTCGTCGTCGTCGTCGTCGTCGTCGTCGTCGTCGTCGTCGTAATGTCGTCGTCGCCTCTTGGGGCGCGCCGTCGTCGTCGTCGTCCTCGTCTTCGTCGATTCGTCGTTTTGTCGTCTTCGTCGTCGTCGGTTCAAAAGGGCATTT